GCCCTGGCGTGAAATCCCGCCTCGGCGGGGTAAGCCCTCGAGCCGGTGGGTTTCCAGCTCAGCACGCGGACTGGACCGCAGCTGGGGTACCCTCTTGCCGTCACTTCGTGTGAAGCGGTATGTGTTACATCAAGCAGGGTTTGAGAGAAGGGTTGGTGTTTTAGCCTTCCCTTCTCGCACCAGCTTAGCAGTGACTCCGATACTCGGTTTATGGGTTGTCAGCCTGCCTGTTTAGTGTCGGATACAGATCAGAGTAATTACTCGTGTGGAAAGGTAAAACATGCTTCTGCTATACATGCCCTTGGTCCTGCTGTGTTGTTCCAGCTGCCTCAGTGATTTGTAAGGATGGCTGTGCTGTCACAGACAAGACTGATGTGTCTCTGGCAGCTCTCTCTGCTTCTAGCAGGCCCCGGCAACAAGGCCTCACACTGGCCATCCTACCGTTCACAGCACCAGCAGGAGGAAGCTAGATGGTGGGATCCCACAGCTTGGGCTCTGTTTCTTTCCCCTTGTCCAGCACTGCCTCTGTGCAGAGCATCCCTGGGCAGCATCCATCAGCTCTGCTCTGTGGATGCCTCCGTGGCACTTCCAAGTGCGCTCCGTTTGGGTCCTCTCCATTTCACTCTTTGTGTGTTCTGCTTTCACCTTCCCCTCGTTTCACTTTTAGTCCCCCACAGTCATTTATTTTTCTCCAGGTGTCTTTGGTGCTCTCTCGTTTCCTGGACAGTAGGAGATGGCGTTTGTTTTTCAGGGGGGAATCGGTAGAAACATGACTGTAAGTAGACACCTAGAGAAGAACAAAGCAAGCATATACAGTGCTGTGCTCTAATATATTACGACATCCGACTGTTCTCAGCTTGAGGACTTCCTAGCTGGCTGTGATTTGTGCATACTTTGTGGTCTTCAGTGGGTTTGTCCTCCATGTCCCTCTTCCCTTGAATCTGTGTAAACTCACAGCATACAGAACATTCTTTGAACAGGAGTTCTACATGAATGAGATGCATGACAAACCACTTCCTTTTAACCTGACTCACTAGGCTTGTTTGATAACTCCTAGTTCTAGTGTTAGAAAAGAAAATTAATCACTCTCTATTCAGCCTTTTCTACAAACTCATTGGCTTGTAGACCTCTATTGTATTTTCTCTTGGTCATCTTTTATTTTTTTTTTCCAGACTGAGGTGTCCTAGTTTGTTTACTTGTTCCTCGTATGGAAGCCATTGTACACCTTTGATCACCCTTGTGACCATTCTCTGAACATTTCCCAGCTCTCCTATATCCTTCTTAAGTTGAGAGGACCAGAATTGCAGTGTGTTCAATTTGCAGATGAGCAACGGCTTAATACAGTGGCACACAGGAGCAATGAGCAATGCTTTTCTGCAAAAGATACACAAAAATAAGTGGAACACATGTTCTCTAAACAAAAGTTGAGGAAAAAAGAAGTACTGAGAACTTACAGGGAACTAGAAAGCAATCCTGGATGAGAAATTGCTTGCTGGATAGAGGGGAACCAAAGGCTGTGTCATCAATTCAAAATCTTAGATTATTTTTAGTTGTCACCTTGTTCGACTTTGTTTTCACCCCCTTTAAAGGATTCATAGAAGTGGAAACAGCATTTTTCTTGTCTAAAGCAACTGCAAATGAAACAGAAATAGCATACTTGGACCTTTCTTTATGATTGATGGGGGGGGAGTCTGCTGAACAGTCTTCAAAACCAAGATGAAGATCGTTTGCTGCCTGAGATGCAGTTGCTTCAGAATTAGAATTTAAATTGTTCTTTCTTTAGGAGGTTTCTGTGACTGCTGGTAATTACAAAGTTTATGAGCATCTTATAGTTTGGCTAGCTTATATGCCAGAGTAAAGAAAAAAATGCCCGTTTTCTGTGGTGTTCTCACGATAATTGCTTTGGTCATCACTAGCATGACAAAGTAAGGCAGTTGTCTTCCCAAGCACGTATTTGCCCGCTCTGGTGAGCTAAATATTTTTTTCACTTTATTTTGTGTGGTTCCAGTGGTTTTTAGTAGCAGTGCACTCTGTGCTCTCATTAACTTAAAATATGTGGTATGAAGTGATACCAGTGTATATTTTATTTTGGATTGACAATGATAAATGTGATATTGAGTGCCCTAAACAGTCTTTTGCTGAATATCTTTCCAGTTCCTGTCTCGTTTAAGAAGGTAGACGCTTTCTGTTTATTCCGTGAAAAAAGATGTCCAGTTATAACAGATCTTGATATTGCTCAGAATAATTCATATATTACTTTGAAAATCCTGTTAAAACACATATACCTACCTCCTAATATGGGCAGACACCACTTTAGCGGTTCATTTATGTTACTATATTGTTTCTGTCTTAAAAATCGAATGGTTGGGAGATAAAAGTAGACTAATTTAAACTTGGAGTAATATACAAGCAGAGTAGTTAACCACTGAAAAACTTTATTATGTGATTTGAAGATTGACACTTCAAGTTTATGGTTGAATGACTTTATAGAAAAGATATTTGAAGTCTTCAGCAAATCACTGGTTGAAATTTTGTCACCGGTGTGGGGTAGTAGGTCAAACTAGATAGTTAAAAATTCTGGAGCAATTATTACAGTTAAGCCTTTTCATTACACTTCTGAAATTACGTGAATGTTGTGGGATGGCATCTTTAGTATAGTAATTATAACAGATTTTTTTTAAAGAGTCTTTTCATATGGAGACTTGCACTCCATGAATTAGCCTGATTATCCCTCAGACCGTAAAGTAAAGAGAGCAGAAGTTTAAACTTCCATTGTTTGCAGAAAACTTAAGAGAAACTGTAGAAGTCCTGAGTCTCATGATCTGAAATGATCTATATTGCCTAGCTGATTGAACTTTTTATTATATGTCAGACAAAGAATACTTCTGTCTGCTTAATTCCAGCAGATGTGGAAGCGGGGGAAAAAAGCGATGTCTATTATATTTTATAAAAGGTTTCACTGTATAAATATCAGGTAACCCAATTTAAAAGTAAGGGATTAGCCCCATTTTTATGTTACAGTAATGTACATTGTACAATATTTTATCATAACAGTGTAAAACCAGTGTGAGTGTGGAATGGCACTGAGACCAATTTCTCCCAGCATCCATATCCACTAATCTGAACTACCGCTTTCCGTCATTTGTATAATAAGTTGATCATGGAATAAAATATAAACTTACAGTTGGGGTTCTGGGGAATCGCAGACTACGACCTTGAGAGAAAACTGTTCATTTTTTTAAGGAATAATATTGGAATTGATTTGTGTACTGTTAGATTGTTCACTTTAGTTATGCATATGAAATACTTTCCTTGGGTCTTTCTGTCAAATGCATGTGCTGTGTGGCTGAATCAGTAGCAGTAACTGCCTGTTATCTGCCGCTATGTGGATTTCTCAGAGTGCAATTTTAGGTATTGTGTTACAATAACTTCAAAAAATGTCTTCAGAGGCAGCAGACCTGCGGCAGAGAAAGAAGCAAAACGACACAGAATCTGACAAAATGGCTCCAGACGAGAGAAACAAAGAAAATTCAAAGCTGGGAAGATCGCCAAAATGTAAGCTATAGTATTTTTGTGATTTTTTTTTTCATTATTCTTTTACATTTTATGGGAAGATATTTTTAGCACAGTAATTTATAACAGACTTATTGTGAATTAGGTTTCCGAATGTGTCTAGAGAAATAGGCATGCACATTAGAATTCTTTAATAATGACGTTTTATGTATTGCAGAGTGAAATGGTAGTCCTGGATTGTTTCAGTTTGTTGGGGGAGAGGGTTTAAGAATCTTGGTACTGCCTATCTGAGTACAAATAAATACTTTAATTGGGCTTGGAATTATCTTTCAGCTTAGAAGCAGAAAGGCGTGAAGTAGTGGTACTGAGGCAAGAATAGACCCAAGTACTTACAGCTTTGTGAGCAGCAGAAGAACTAAAGCCAGGCGTAGTTTTAGGCAAGTGCTCACCAAACTACAAAAGACATAACTTTGGTGTTAAAAGTACATACTAACCTGCGGGAGCTACAGGTGAAATAGACACCAATTGAATGAGTTTGGTAAAATTCAGATTAGTTCTTTCCTCTTGCCAATGAAAACAACAGAAAGGAGAATATAATTCTTGGTATTGGTGTTGGGTGTGATATTGTCACTTTTTTTTCTGTTCATATGTTTAAGACTTTTATGGTGTTTTGGGTAGAATCTAGAGTTTACCCTGTTTATTCGGAAGACATTTTCCCTTGGACTTCCTTGGAAAATGAAGCTTGTTAAAACAGAGAGAAACTTGCGGTGCAGCGTATGGGTGTTTTACTTATGAGAGTCATATGAAGTAGCAGTAAGAACTGAGAGAGAAAACTCAGTAGAAAAGGAGTAATAATCCAGTTCTTCGTGTATCTGTGATAATGTTGTTGGGATAATTCTGATGCCAGTAAGTTAACTTGCTACTTAGAAGCTAGTCATACTTCAGGTCATATTGTGTTTGTTTGCAAGTCCTCTGGACTATTTTAGCTTTTTCACTGTCCCTTTTCAGATGTGTTAATTCAGCGTTTTGCAAAACTTTTCTTTGGCTGCCTTGCGGCAGTCACTAGTGGAATGATGTATGCTGTGTACCTCTCAACATATCATGAACGGAAATTCTGGTTTTCCAGCAGGCAGGTAAAGAAAAAATTTAACCATTCTCAAATTAAGCGCTGAACTGTGTCATTGAAATCAAAGCTGATCTATGTCAGGTTTGAACTGCAGTTTTGCTTTCAGAATCCCACGGCTTTCTACTCAGGCCTCTTTCCTTGACATGGTCTTTCTGTCTCTCTTTTTTCCTTCTCCCCCCCCCCCCTTTTTTTTTTTTCCTTAAGGCATTTCTGCTACTGATGACAATTTGGTCTTGTAATATTTTTATGTGCTCTTCCATGCTGTTCTTTATAGTTGAAATACATTTCAATTTGGAGAGAATACTGAAACGTACCAGTATTGTATAAGCTGAACAACAGGGCTGTGTGGTTTTTAAGAACTGTGATGTTGAGTGAAGTATGTAACATGGAATGAAATTCAGCTGTGTGAATATGAAACAATACTGTGAATCTTGCACTGACTTACTGTGTGGATTTGGGTTGCTCTGATTCAGAGCATGCTCACTAAGTTATAGAGAGCATTACACACCTGACAGAGGTGCTGGGAAGATTAATGTTTTGCAGAATACTTTGAAGATGTACAGTGGAGTCCTAACCATGTGCTGTATTACAAAACCAGCCAATCTGAAAATATATGATCTTCTATGGGAAGAGATTGCAGGAGGTGAATGTATATTTTTTTTTCTAGGAACTTGAACGAGAAATTACATTTCAGGGTGACAGCGCCATTTATTATTCATTCTATAAAGAACTGCTAAAGGCTCCTTCCTTTGAAAGAGGTATGAAAAACATTTGTTTTATTAACCTTGAAAAGTTCTGTTTTACTTTTAGAGACAGTTAAAAACTCCTGCAGACAAAGGAGGTTGGTTTTATACTCTCATATATGTATATGGGTCAGATTAATTAAAAAATGCATGCTGACCTAGCTTTTCAGAGCCTTTAAAAAAACCAGACTCTAACTATCCTATATTCCGGAAGATTTGCCTTAAATCATGTGGACTAGGGCTTAATGTTTTTCTAATACTGCCCTAGATGTAAGTCCTTGTTGGGTTTGTCTATGCTGTGTTGTTGACTTTGCTGTGTTGTTGACTTTGCTGCGTAAACGTAATTGGTCTTTAATTGGGGGTTGGGGGCCGGAATTACTGTTTTCCATCCCCTCTCAGAGCAATTTCTGTCAAGAGTTGATCAGCTCAGTCCTATCCCTGCCAGAGGTTTCTACGCCTGCCAGCTATGATAAATTGATGTTAATGAGAGCTGACTCAAGGGGGAGCCAAAACCTCCCTGAAGGAGAACAAGCTGGGTGGCAGTGGTCTCCCTCTGTGCTCCTGCTCCTTACCCTGCTCTGGCTCTGGTGTGTGCTGACCATGGGTGAGCTGGATTAGGTCCCTGAACTATAAGAAAACTAAAGCAGTGGTAAGACAAGTGAACAGTTTTATACTGGTCTGGTGAGCTCAGAAGACCATCAGGGCTGGCACAAAGTAAAAGACAAGAACTCCAGGAGAGAAGAAAGAGTGAACGGCTGTGTCTGGCAGCATTCAGCTGCTGAGTTAGTTCAGTCCTCTCGTGAAACATCCTCCTGAGCCATTGAAACTTTGTAGGTACAGTTTTATTGGTTGAACAGTTTCCCAGCTGATGTGTAGCATATGTCAGCAATATATGTCTTTGGTACAGTCAGTTCCTTATTATCTGTGGGGAGATTACCCAGACTGTGGATGGATGGACTAACTCATCCAGGCTTGCTGGAGCTGGCTCTGCAGACGGGTACGCTTGTGTCTGCTAGGTATTCTGAAGGCACCCAGGTTTGGAAGGTGTATCACAGCTGTGCTGTGCCCAGTTATTAGCCCTGCAAGTTCTGGTTTGGCCTGCAGAAAAACAGGAGCAGGATATGTATCACACACTAGGATATGTTCAGGGCTAGAAACAGTGATACGATTCCGCTGTTGCACTGTTGTATTGTTCTTTTCTTTGTTTTAATTAGTCCTCCTCCCCCATTGTCCTAAGTCATGACAAGTTGATTTTTTTCAGTTCTGACATCTCTCAAAATGATATATCCTACTAGTGTGCCAGCGTCAGTGGAATCTCAGTCCCATACAAAGGCATATTGTGTCAAGTGAGTGATTCTCAGAAGCCTGAGCAGTACAGGCTGAGGCCGTCATAGCTGACCTCTCTGTGGACATGGTTTTAATAAATCATGGTTATTCTGATTAGAGCTTTATCTTGCTTCTTAAGAACATCCTGTGAAGGTGTTCTGTAGGTAGGTTGTTCCAGGTCTGTGTCAATGTGTTGATACTGGAAAGACTACGCTTTAGCCGGTTACTTTTAGGCACTCCATTTAAAGAGTGGATCAGGAAAAGATAATAATTTTGTGGCAAAATCAGTAGGGTATAGTGGCATCTAATGCAGAAATTTACTCTCTGCTTTAAAATTATGCATCAGTAGCTTTAATAGTCAAATCTCTTCCTCCCTACTTTTGAGTACCGTTTTACTCCTTTTAAGAACAGGAGTAGTGTTTTCAAGAATAATGCTTTTTTTTTGTCTGTAGGTGTTTATGAATTGACACACAACAATAAGACAGTATCCCTGAAGACCATAAATGCAGTCCAGCAAATGACTTTGTATCCAGAGTTGATTGCCAGTATATTGTATCAAGCGTCTGGTAGTGAAGTATGTGCACTTCTCCTGCTTTTTGTGCCTATATGATGATAGCGTCTGTGTGTGTGTGTGTGTGTGCACGCTTGGGACATTCTGTGCTGTATACAATAAATACGTCTAATTTGTTGAATGAATTGTGAGCTATAGCTAACACTGGATCTGGTTTCTCCTCAGTTCTAATCAGTCTCGGCCAGAGGATTTTGGGGCTTTTATGCACTAGACTTTTCTGTCTGTTAGTTCTTTACTTTTATTAAATTGCTTAGAAATGTGGGGAATATCTGTGCTACTCATTCAAAATGGAAAAGTTAGCTCCTTCAGAGTATAGTCTGGTATAGTGATACCTATCTGTACCTATATCAGTACAGGTAAAAGGGAAAAACACCTTTTGTAGGTGAACCTTTTGTGTCTTTCTGCTCCCCTTGGGCTTTGTTCTGCTTACGCTGCATAGTGCTGTCCTGTTTTATGCTCTCTCAGTTCTCTCTCTTATTTTTTTTATATATATGCTTCTCTGTGTTTGGAACACTTTTCTGCCACATCTTTGCCTCTCCAAGTTCCTACTCTACGTAATTTCTTTCACTAGTCCTGTGAACTCTATGCCTCACTGCAATATGGATTTGTTAAATCTGATACATATAATGTTCATGCTAAAGCAAACACAAAAATCGTGGCGCTAGCAAGCTGAGTCTTGAAGCGTGCTATTAGTTCACACTGCTTTGTTCTCCCTGAGCCCAAAATAAAAGCATTTGATACTTTTCTAGAACAGGGGCCGCCTCTTACCTGTTTGTAAAGCACCTAGCACACTGTTAGCGGTATGCAAATGGTAAATAGTAATCATTTTCAGCTTCAGCTCAGTTGCCGCTATGTCTCTTCGTTTTTATTTGTAATTTCAGGAAGTTATTGAACCAGTGTATTTCTACATTGGTATAGTTTTTGGACTGCAGGGAATTTATGTGACTGCAT